TAGGGACGGGGGGAACCGCCATCACTTGAAGCCTTGACATCGGGACTGGATGTCATTGTTATGAGCTTGATGCAGAGTGTATGGGGTGAGAGTCCGTGGCCTGGGCCATGCAGGAGGTCACACTAGATGATCATAAAGGGACCTTTCTGGCCTGAGAAGTCTATGACTCTAGGTAGCATGGCCCAGTGGTTAGAGCCCTGGACTGGTACTCAGGAGATCAGTGTTCTGGTGCTGCTGCTGGGTGGCCTTGGGCAAGTCACTTCCCCTCCCCGTGCCTCAGTTTCCCCATCTGTAAAATGTGGAAAGTAACATTGGCCTCTTTTGTAAAGTGCTTTGAGATCTCGGGATGATGACAGCTGGGTATTAGCATTATTTGTATTACCAGCTCACTCAGGAACCCTAGTCAGGTGCCAGACCCCAATGTGCCCAGTGCGGGGCAAATACCGAACAAAAAGACGGTCTCTGCCCCAATGGGCTTATTCTTGTTATTACAATTAATTAATAATAACGATGTGTCTCCGTGCACTCCTTGCCAATTTGCTGGTTTTATCCCAGTGTTTCCAGCCCTGCGTGAAAAAAACATGAGTCAGGCCTGAAGAAAAGGGCTTAAAAATCACAAGCGTTCACATTTTTTATATATATAAGTCGCTGAGTTCTTTTTTATTCCCTTCCAGCTTCTGAGCTGTTCGATTGCACTCGGGTCAAGCCTTTAAGCTTTTCTTCGCAACCACGACTGGGCTGGAAACAGATTTTTTCTTCCAAACTGGAGGCTGAGCTTCTCCCATATTCCCCCGACTCCGGGAGCAGGCGACTTTCAGACAGGTACCCAGAAAAGTGGGTCCCAGATGCTAAATCTGTGGGTCCAGGCGGCAGCATGTGGAAGCGACAGCAGGGATGCGAACAACAGCAGTAGAGTGCGTCCAGCTGGTACAGATGTGCTCTGTTTTGAGAGCTAGTCTCCGGCCTGGGGCACTGACCCATCAGCTTAGCCCACCAATGTCTGTTACGGTGAGGCTCGTGTATATTCTCTGCTATGCTATGGCCCTAAAGCGGGTGAAACCTGCCTCCTGAAAATCTCCCCTGTGGAAGCCCAGGTCCCCCATCCTGGCATGAGGCTGGAGCGCACTGCTCTTTGGCAAGTCAATGCTTCCCAGGCCCCATAGGGAGTCACATTACACCGAGGGAACGGACAGGCCTCTGAACACCCTCCAAATCATAGAATCATAGACTATCAGGGTTGGAAGGGACCTCAGAAGGTCATCTAGTCCAACCCCCTGCTCGAAGCAGGACCAAGCCCCAATACAGGGAGCACAAACGTAGCTTAAAGCTACCTTAATTGCCAACCTTTGGTCCTTGTCCCACGCATAGGATGCAGTCACAGAGAATCAGGGTTATGGCTATGTTTGGACCTGCAGCAAAATCCTGGCACATAATACCTCGGCACTGTGAAGGGGGCAAAATCCGGAGCCAGCTCCAACATTTGCAAACACCTCCTGGCTTCACGCTGGGCTGAAAGGCGCACACACACGGCCCAGCCTTTCCTGACCCTTGGGGCACTCAAACCCCGGAGCCCCAGCTGAATTTTGCAGCTCGACCTCATCACTCTGCTCTTCAGAAGAGGGTGGGGTTTGGGGGACGCCCAACAGCAGCCCCCCCTTGTGCAAGCAGAGGGCCCGCCAACCTCCCCTCACGTTCATGGCTGGGTGGGTACCTGCTCTTAAATGATCCTGTTTCCCAACCAGAGGGAACCCCTGTGTGCTAAGTCACTGAATGACGGCCTTTGTTCTCACCCAGCAAGAGCATCCGCTGCCACTGGGGAACATGTGCTTGAAGGGGATTCGGCTCCCAAGCGTTCCCCCCTCTGTTTAGTCTGGGGCTAGCTGTCTGCACCCCACCCCTGCGCGAATGATGCTGCCACTGTTTGCAGCAAGCCTGAAGCGGAAGCCATCAACCAAGCCTGTGAGTAACCTTGCTGTGTTATTCCCTACGCTTGCTGGGTCCCTGAGGGATAAAGGGGGGTGGGGGCTAGCAGACCACCCTCCCCGTCTAAACTCCGCTTTGCACTGCGCTTTGCACAGCCAGGCTCTGCTCCAGTTCAGCTTCCAAATCTTGGCCTCGGACCTAAACTGGCAGCTAATCCAGGCTTGCAAATAGCTTGAAAAAACGACTAAAAGAGGGGCCAGGGTGGAATTAAACAGCAAACCAACAACAACAGCGTCTGCAAACGTGGCAGCAAAGGCGGGAGGGGAAAAAAGTACAGAATCAACCCTCTGAACCGGGCTCTGGCTGGCAGGTTAGCCACGTTTTCAGCAAGTCGTACCACCCTGGCTTTCCACCCTCTTGCGCCCCATGCATTATTATTTCTCACCACTCTTGGTGCACAGATGGCCCTCATTAAAAAGCAAAATTAGTCTTTCACCCTCTTGTGGCAAACTTCAGAGCCCCGGATCAGCTGTATTAGGCTGAATTAATTACCAGCGGATTGTTCCTATTCTGCTAATTATGCTGAAATATGCATTAAACACTGGAAATTAACATGGGCTGCACAAAAAAATTATTTAGCACTTAAAAAAAAAACGATTTTTTTTTCCGCAGGAGGGAATTGCCTGGCAACTGGCGTCCCAATGCAAAGTGGGTTCTTGACAGTGCATCCTGCTTTGCTTCTGAAACAGCCTCTCCCCTCCACCAAGGCGCTTTTTTTGGATGTGATGGAATGGGGAGCAGAGCTGACAAATTCTTCCCAGGGTCTATTCAAATTCCTTCAAGAAAAACGTTAAAAATGGGATTGAAAGAAGGATCCGAGCTCTGCTTTCCTCCCGCTTGATTCATTTATTCCTTCTCCCTGCAACGAACACACACAGAGGGGCCAGATCCTCAACCAGTGTAAATCAGACGCCCGGCACCTCGGCCCTGGTTCTTGTGTCGTTGTTTACATCGCTGTGTAGGGCTGTGTGACTTGGGAGGAGTCACGTCCCAGCTCTGTGCCTCAGTTTACCCGCTCCCACCGTCTGTCTGTCTTGTCTATTTAGGCCTGGCCTACGTGAAGATTTGCACCACTTTAAGGAAGGGTGGGAATTTAAGCCCGGTGGGAACGCTCCCGGTTCAGTTGAAGAGTTGCTTACTTTGGTTTAGCTTGAGTCGAATGGGGACAGGTTTCAGGTAAACTGAAAAGCTCTTTCTGTGGGGTGACCAGATGTCCCGATTTTATAGGGACAGTCCCGATTTTTGGGTCTTTTTCTTACCTAGGCTCCCATTACCCCCCACCCTGTCCCGATTTTTCACACTTGCTGTCTGGTCACCCTATCTTTTTGAAACACAAATCCAAGTAATAAAAGTCTTTGGGGGGCCGGGCCTGTCTCTTACTGTGTCTGTACAGCGCCTGGCACCACGGGGTCTCCAGCGCTCGGTGCTGTTGTCATAACGCCAACACCCCCCCACTGCAAAGATGTAAATGACAAGGCAGGCTGAGCAATGCGGCCTGTCAACCTCTGTGGAGCGACGGCTGATGCGCACCAGTGTAAACGCGAAGGGAATCGGGCCCTGGCAGGGATAGTCACCTGAGCGAGGATGGCAGGGTGGGCCCTGGCTGACGGCCACTCCCGGCCCCAGTGGCAGGCAGGGGGAGAAGGAGACAGGACACGTTCTGTGCCGCGCAACCTGTGAGTTGCTCGGTGGCGCTGCCCTCTGTAGTGTTTAATGAGGGCTAATCGGCGTTGGATGGTCACTGATGCGTCAGTGACTGGGAGAGGAAGGGAAGGGAGGCCACATATAGCTGTGCCTCTGGGCGGGGAAGGAGAGCTCCTTGTGTTTCTTTACAGTATAAAACACGGGACACCAAAGAGAGTCAGGGCTCCCAGGCTGCAGGGATGCGCGTTGGAGCTCGGCGGCAGCAGCCGAGTCCCGGAGAAAGCACCCCCATGAGGCAGGGAACACAGCACTGAAATAGGTGCCTGGGGCTGTCTTGTCATGTGTACTGTAGAGGCTCCCACTGAGAGCAGGGCCCCCTTGTGTCAGGTGCTCCCTTGGTGAGAGACAGACCCTGCCCTAAAGAGCTTACAATCTCAGTGGACAAGACAGAAGATTAGCATTCTGCTTTTACAGATGGGGAAACTGAGGCACAGAGAGACAAAGCAACTTGCCTGGGAAGCCTGGGGCAGGGTTGGGATTTGCACCTACATTTCCTGAGTGTGGACCCACTGCCTTAACCCCCAGGCCACACCTCTTCTCACAGCATTGCGCCCATCGCAGGTGAGTTACAGTCATTTCCTTTCCAGGTGCCGTCAGCGTGATTGTCACAAGCGTCTGCCTCACTCCCGCTTCAGCAATATTCCCGGCTCTCGTGGGCTCCTGATTTCTTTGATCCTTTGGGGATTTCGTTTCTTGGCTCGTCCGGTGGCTCTGGCCTTCTAACACTAATTAACTCACCACGCTACTTAATTGTGACGTGAAGGGATCCACTACAAAACAACAGCACTTTGCGCTGCTCAACGCCCTTAATCAATAATTCCACCCCTTTCCCAGGTAGGGAAATATTATCCGTAAATATCTAAGGAACGTATATGGCCCAATAAAAGCTGAGCACCTTGGGGGGAGGGGGGAAACTGAGGCACAGAGCTTTTAAGTAACTTGTTCAAAGTCCGACAGCAAGTCAGGGGGTGGGTGGGGGCTTGGACAGTACCCAGGAGCCCTGAGTCCAAATTCCTTGCTCAAAAAACTAGATTACACTCCCCTTCCAAAGCAGGGAATAAAACCCAGCAGTCCTAACTCCCTGTTTGGCCACTAGAGCACATGTCCTCCTGGAGTGGGGAAAAGAACCCAGGACTCCTGACTCCCATTCCCTTACTCTTGGCCCTGGAAGATATTGTCTGTCAGCGCTGGTATTTGCAGGGAGGGGAAGAAAACACTCAACAGACATCAAAAAGACAATAATCCAAGTGAAGCAGAAAACTGGACATGCCAAAAGGGTGGGTGGAGGAAAAGGCAGGAGGTCTCGAAAGCAATGGACTCACATGACATTTATTTTTATTTTATTATAAAAAAATACAGACTCCAAATGAAGTTGTGATCGGGTTTACCATCAGCACGACGTCTAGAACGAAAGCTGCATGTCTAAGAACCAAGCTAGGCTGAGCTGAGACCCACAAGCGAAAAACAGTTCCCGTAAGATGGGTTCATCCCCGAATGGAAAACCAAAAACCCCAGACCAAACCAAAACCCCAAAAACGAAACCAAAAAAACCCCAGCCCCCATTTTTTAAAATTAGAGCTTCACTTGTTTGCTTTTTCTTTCTTCTCTCACAGTCGCTGTACTATATATATATAACATATATACCACAGACCAAAGGCCCGATTTTGCCACTGTTCCACTGCTGCGGTCCCGAGATTATTTATATTACGGGAGCCAACCAAGATGGGGGCCTTATTGGGCTAGAGGTTGTACATTCACAGTCCCTGCCCCCACGAGTTTACAGCCTAAGCCCCTTGTCCTGAAAGCGGGCTCTGGGTGAGCCTGTCTGTCCAGGATTGAGCCCCAACACACAAGGTAGACAAAGGAAGTATTATTACCAGTGGGGGCACTGAGGCTGGGATTTTTAAAGGAGGCACTGACTGTCCATGGGAGCTGGGCACTTAAAATCCTTCAGGCTCCTTTGAAAATCCCTGACGAGTCGGCAAATGATTTAAACCCAGGGACATGAGTAGTTCCCTTGACCTCCAGGATCACTTGTGTGTTTCCGTCCCTTGCTGAATCCGGTCCAAAGGTCACACCAGATTCTGGTCTCCTGGGTGCCAGGCCAGCCGCCCTTCCCTCTTTACTCCATTGGCTGACTCCTGGAGCAAGGTTACTCGGTTTGAGCCAGGGAAGCCAAGTCTGGCCCCCTACGGACAGGGAGGAGGGTGACGCATGTAGAAAAGTGGGGCTTTCGTCTGCCTTTAAGAAAACGTTCCCTGGTCTAGATACAATGGGGGGCCGGGAGGGAGGGGAAGCAGAGCTGGAATTGTTGATCGTCAAGATGAGCTTATTGCGAGTTTTTAGCTTCCTAGTCTACAAAATAAAAACAAAATAAAATTAACATAAAACCTTCCATAAAATTCATTCTCAACGATACATAAAAAAAACAAACCAAAAACCTGTCACAGTATAACGCCTGCTGGCTATATTTACAGAAAGACCAGTATAACGCCCGCTCCGGTTCGGTCCCTGGGGCTCACAGACAGAGGCTGTAGAAACTGACGGTTTCTGTGCGCGATTGAAAAAGACATCCGCAGAAAGACCGTTTTTTGTACTATTATTAGGATTGTGATTTTAAATCTACGCTCTATTTCCGGGAGCGAGGAGACAACTCGAGTTCTGCCTTCACGGTGGGGGGAGCCGGGCAGCGATGGAGGTGCCCGCAGATATGGCTCCAGCTTTAGAAGGTGATGCAAATCTCCCCCCTGGTCCCTCCTCCCCAGCCCCAAACCCATCCACTGCATCCCTTGGAGAGAGACTAGCATTCTGCCAGCACCTTGCTGGACTCTTCTCTAATGGGCACAGGTATGTGCGAAGAAGAATCAGCCATTCGCTTTTCCCCCACCATCGCCACCAACTCTTCCATGTCCCTTTGCTTGTCCCGCTTTCTTAGTTCTTTTTCCCTGGAATGTAACTTCCTTTTATCACCAAAATCCTCCAATAGAGCAGGAGAAGGGGCAGAAATCAGGAAGTGGGGTTTTATTTGGAGATGGGTTTGTGCCAAAACCCTAGATGCAGACTGTCCCCGGATGTAAGGACAGGAGGGGTTGAGATCCAGGCTTGGATGGGGATCTGAATTTTGCAAAATGGGCCCCATTTAATCATCTGAATTCCGAAGAGTGGGGCCAATCGGCGGCTTTATTTTAAAGCAAAGAAAGCCAAGCCAGCAGTTACTCCAAGCCAGGAACAGCGCAACGGAGGAACAAGCCATCAGGATGTGCAGGATCGAAGGAGACTCATAAAGGGAAGGAAGGATGCCCAGGGAAAACTTCATAGAGATCCACCCCCTCAGGTCAGCTCCATTCTCTCTCCTGCTGTCTCAGCCTGATTAGCAGCTTGCTTGAATCTGTAATACAGCCGGGGATCACTGAGCTGCGCGGGGCGGTGGTTAGGACAAGACAGACGGAGCTGCTCTGCTCCACGTGTCTAGAAGAAGTGGCCACAGGAGGGGGAATTGGAATGGCAGGGCTGGTGACGCGGATCCGTGTTGGGATCAGCGGGGTTATGTAGGAAGGGGCACTGCTTTCACTAAGGGACTTGGGGGAAGTAGGGAGGGGAAGGCTACCGTCAGCGCTGGGAGCGAATTAAAAACCCAAGTACGGAGTCAGCGATGAGAGAGGAGGAAGGTACTAGGCAAAGATTTGGGGCCGGATCCTCAGCTGGCGTCAACGGACGTAAGTCCGTGGAGCGATGCTGATTTCAACCGGCGGAATTTTTAGCTTTGGGAACCCAAGAGGGTGAATTTCACCTGCGCACGGCCTAGTTTAGTGGCTCGCGTGGTCTACGGCAGGGCTCTGCCCAGATGCCCTCCGAAGGACCTAGGCTCTCTCTGCATTTCCTGCCCACTTAATTCCCCTTTGCTCCATGGGGAGGTGGTAGCCAGCCAGAGCCCCTTCTAAATTCCAGCCCCAGCCCCTACACTAATCGCCGGCTGTCACTTGCCAGCAGACTGGTTACATGCCTGACGTTAAACCCCCCTCCCCTCCAGCCTTCCTGCTCAACTTTCCCAAACTAGATTTTTGACCCTGCTCTCGGTGACCTCCGTGGCAAAGCCCCCTCCCCACCCATTCTCCCACTGCCTTCACCAGGCCCAGTAACCCTTCTGCAGGCGTTGCTCCTTGCTTTGCCAAGGACGTCAATTGCAGGGTCAATTACATTTGGCTGGCTTATTTGTATACCTGCCCATCCCTCCCGACCCTCCCCCCGCCCAAAGAAACAACCCACATATCCACGAAAACGGTACAGTCGTTCTGACAACCAAGCCAGGTCAGCGCTCCTCCAAAAAGCCTTTGATGGCCTGTTTCCATCTGGCCCCCTGCCTCCAAAACACAGGCCTGAAAGGAGCAGTAAGGTATCGGCACCGCTCTGGCCAGGTGGCACTGAGTCTCATGGTACCAGCACTGGCAAACAGCTGGGCTAGTTTGGGAAAGACTCCAAAGCAAAAAAGCTGTGAGCACTGTCGTTCTCGGCCCGGATCCGTCCCGTCCCAGAGTCCAGGCACCTTGCTTGTTCGCCAGCCACCAGCTCCCCTGCTTGGAGCCAGGGACTGAATCTGTCTGAGCATCATGGAAAACCCGGGAAGGAAAGCCCAAGCTAGCCCCTGATCCTGCATTCCCTTGACGGCTTGGAAGGGAATGCTGCCCACGGAGATTTCTGAACCACAGACGGGGGAGGGGGGTTCGTTTTGTGGCTAAGTCTCAAGAGGTGCAAGAAAAGCACACACAAAAAATATAATAATAAAAGGATTCTAATATTTGGTCTAGAAATTTCAAAAGCAAAATCCTACAAGGAGGGTCAAAGCGAGCTGAGCCCAGCACCATGAAAAGTGGGCCGTCCCGGAAGCAGGAAAGCAGCGCCGATCCCACGCTGCGCTTTTCCACTGTTATTTTGTCATTCCCCGCCCCCACCTCCAAACCAGACGGCTGGGGAGTGGGGCAGGGGTGTTATATTTTGTACATCGGTAGAAATTTTGCAGCCTTCTTCCAAGCGAATCCACGCCAGGAACAGAAATTCTCCGAGCTGGGAATAAGGCCGGGATAGGGAAAAAATCCTTCTTCGTGTCCCCTGCCCAACCCCACCTCCCGGCTCAGGAGTTGCAGTTCAAAGGTTATTGTGAAAGAGAAAACTTTTTAAAAAACAAAGCAAAAGGCTGGCGCGAGAGGGTTCATTCTCTCCGGAGGCAGACAGAACACGTCTCTTCGCCTGCGTGTGTCCGTCTCTCTCCTCCTTTCCCTGCCAAACCGCTCCCCCTTCCTTTGTTTTCTCCTCTCGGGGCTAGGAAGTGAGCACAGTCCAAAACACCGGCACCACGAGGATGAGGTGCGGGACCCTGAGGCTGCAGCAGGAGTTATTGCTGGTGAAAATAGGCTCCGGAGATTCGTACAGGGAGTCATCTGTGAAGGGGGAGGAAAAGAGACATATGTCAGACCACAAAATGCCCACCTGGGAAGCTGTAGGGCCTGATCCTGCAATGTGCTGAGCACGGTCAACAGGGGGCGCTTAGCACCTCACAGAATTGTTTGGCTCTCTCCCAGGATCAGGCCCACTGGGGGTCTGTGCTGTGGTCCTCCTGCATTGGATCACATCCGTGGTGCCTGCAGAGGTCTGAGCCAACTGCAAGGTTGTCAACCCCCTGGGTTCTGAAATCATGAGCACCCACCTCCCACCCCCCGAAAAAATCATGAAATTTTAAAGGAACAACTATTAGGTTCTTTTTTCATTTGCTTTCCGGATTTTATTTGCCTCCTTGGGGGGAGGGGGAGGTCACATTTACAAGCTTTTTTCCGTAGCCAGCAATGTGAGAACCGTACTTTATTAGGAGGTTTAAATGAGAGTTGAGAGCCTTGCCTAATCACATGACTCCAGGAACTGGGGCTTTAAAGAAACCCACCAAATATTAGAAGAGTGGCGATAAACTCAACCCTGAGATTGCAGGATTGGTGTCTGAGATTGTAAAGCTCTTTGGATCTGGGACTATGAGCATTTCTAGCTGCTCTGGGAGGGGCCCAGACCATACTTACGGATGCCGTGAAAGAATAAATCATCCTAATAGGAACATAGGAACTGCGAAAGAGGATGAGATCCAAGAGCCATCTAGCCCAGTATCCTGTCTCCCACAGTGGCCGATACTAGACACTAAGATGATGATGTAGGAACCCAGACATGGGTTAATGATGCGGGATAATCTGCTCCCTACATCAGGTCCCACCTTGATCTCTGATCGTTACCGACTGGCTTAAGCCCTGAAGCCTGATGGTCCCTTCAGAAATTTTTGGTGTCATTAATCAATTTGCATAATCAAAGACATGCTCTTCATCTAGGAAGGTCAGTAGCTAGCTGTGTGCATCAGACACTGTCGTTTCTAATCCTTTCTTCTTGGGCACATCAAAAGAAAACTTCTTCCCAACTGATTTTGTTGTCTTCAAGAGATCCAGACACACGGCGTTCCAGATCATATCCACACCGGGAAACTAAACTCACTATTCAAAAGGAGAGAAAATACAGCAGCTACATTTCAGAGCCGCTTACACCTTGATACTTTCCCCCCCTGCATTTAATTTCAATGGAGCCTCCCTCAATCACCTGCCACTTTCTCTTGGTTTCCTTTGGTAAGTTATTATTGTTCTTTGTTTCATTTGATTTATTATATCCACAGAAATACCAACAAAGGGAACGGGAACATACAACCAGTATGGGGGAAGTGATTAGGCTGTAGAGCAAGAATACCGTCAACCTCAAGCATTCAAAAATCTAGAGCGAGGCCTTCAGAAGTCATGAGACTGGCTTCAAAATCTTAAGATTTAAAAAAGAACAAAGCACGTTGGGCTCTTTTTTAATTTGCCCTCTGGTGTCCGAAACTTGACAGGTCCCGTCTTTAAATTTTCTTCTGCCACCCCAGGGGGCTGGACTTGTAGCTAGCTTTGGGTCTTTTTGCTTGTTTTCTTGTTGTTTGTTTCTATGACACCTGGAGTAATTTACCGCACTAGCAGCTTACTAAACAGGAATTAATTCAGGGAAGTCCCAGGGCCTGTGTTAGACACAGGAGGCTGGATTTTAGTATCACAATGATCCCTTCTGGCCTAGGAATCTCTGAATAAGAAAAACCTCAGACATTGTGAGCCTGGTGGTAAAATCGTGAGAGCTGGCAGTGCTGGATCAAAGAAATGGAAAGGCAATTCCGGCACCAGCAATGAGACCGAAGAGGGGAAACAATGGGGCCAGATCTGACATCCTCGCTCACTGAATTCAGCCAGGAAGGATCTATTGAGCTTGAGGAAAGCCGGCAAAATCTGGCCCACAGAAACAGAAAATCAAGGGAGTTGCAAACGTGTACCTGGCAAATGCTCGTCCAGAAAATAGCTATGGCTCTGATCTTGGGAACGCTTAAGCAGGTGAGTAACTTTTCTCCCATGAGCAGTTCCCTTTAATTGAGATGCGGGTAAAAATGCCATGAGTCCCTGGAGCCTTGTCAGATGAATGGGAGATAGCATCTAGTAGAGACAGGCTCTGCCTAGCACTTGGGCACTGTCACTGAATGATAACGGTTCCTTCTGCATCTTAGTCCATGTGTTTGTAGTCATCCTCGCTGCTTAATTCCCCACACAGCCAGGTTCTGCAAAGCCTCTGAGGTGAGGCCTGATCCAAGGCCCACAGAAGCCCGTGGGCATAAGAATGGCCAGACTGGGTCAAACCAATGGTCCATCTAGCCCAGTATCCTGTCTACCGACAGTGGCCAGTGCCAGGTGCCCCAGAGGGAGTGAACTGAACAGGTAATGATCAAGTGATCTCTCTCCTGCCACCCATCTCCATCCTCTGACAAACAGAGGCTAGGGACACCATTGCTTACCCGTCCTGGCTAATAGCCATTAATGGACTTAACCACCATGAATTTATCCAGTTCTCTTTTAAACTCTGTTATAGTCCTAGCCTTCACAACCTCCTCAGGCAAGGAGCTCCACAAGTTGACTGTGCACTGCGTGAAGAAGAACTTCCTTGTATTTGTTTTAAACCTGCTGCCTATTAATTTCATTTGATGACCCCTAGTTCTTGTATTATGGGAATAAGTAAATAACTTTTCCTTATCCACTTTCTCCACATCACTCATGATTTTATATACCTCTATCATATCCCCCCTTAGTCTCCTCTTTTCCAAGCTGAAGAGTCGTAGCCTCTTTAATCTCTCCTCATAAACCTCTTTAATCTCTCCTCATAGCCTCTTCAATCTCTCCTCATGAATTTATCTAATTCTTTTTTTAACCTTGTTATACGTTTGGCTTCACAATATCCCCTGGCAATGAGTTCCACAGGTTGACTGTGTGTTGTGTGAAGTACTTCCTTTTGTTCAACCTGCTGCCTATTAATTTCACTGGGTGACCCCTGGTTCTTGTGTTACGTGAAGGAATAAATTACACTTCCTTATTCACTTTCTCCACACCTTTCATGATTTTACAGACCTCTATCACGTCCCCCCTTAGTCGTCTCTTTTCCAAGCTGAAAAGTCCCAGTCTTAGTAATCTCTCCTCATAAGGGCTTTGAACTGGGCTCACGGTGCAGCGTGAAGACAGGTGCTAGCGAAGCAGAGACCCAGTCCTACTCTTGTGCGGTCCCGGCGGCAATGCTGGGTTGCATAGGAACCCCCAGTTCCAAGACAAACACGGGCCCTTGCAAAGGGAGTTCTGTGCGCATTGGCCCCGACGGGAGAGCTAAGCTGTCTTGGTTAAACCACAGCGAGGAACTGCAGCCGCTGAGTTTAGAGGCTGATTGCAGCCAGCAGCTAAAGGACAGTGAAAGTGGGGAACTCAGCAAGGCCTGGGGAGAATAATGCAAATGAAAATACCTGCTGGGCAGGTAGGAAAGCCCAGCCCTGGGTGGGCGCTGCTACTGCTTTTATGGGCTGATGATCTCAAGGCGTGTGGTGCAGGATGTTTTTGTTCTGCTTCATTAAAACCAGGCTGACAGACCCCTGGGAATAGCTGCCTGCCTGCACAGTGAGCCTTTCGGAATGAAATCCCCAATATCCCCACGGAGTTCGATGCCGAAGGAGTTGTTCAAAAGCTGGCTGGGACCCAGAGGTGTCCAACTGGGTCTTGGGTTTTGGACTGTCAGTCTGGTGACTTGAGAAAAAGCAACAAACCGGACCACCGTCAACCTCCCAAAACATACGAGGTAACTGCTCAAGACACTGGTGATCGTCCCGCACTGGTGAGGCCTCAGCCGGAGTCCTGCGTTCAGGTCTGGGCGCCGCACTTTAGGAAAGATGGGAGTAAACTGGAGAGAGTCCAGAGGAGAGCAACAAAAATGATCAGAGGTTTAGAAAACCCGACCTATGAGGAGAGAATTGGGCATGTTTAGTCTAGAGAAGAGAAGGCTGAGGGGGGACCTGATAACAGTCTTATAATATGTGAAAGGTTGTTATAAAGAGGAGGAGCCGTTGTTCTCCATGTCCACTGAAGGTAGGATAAAAGGGACCAAGGGAGATCTAAATCGGATATTAGGAAAAACTTTGGAACTGTAAGGAAAGTGAAGCACTGGAACAGGTACCTAAAGAGGTTACGGAATCCCTGTCATTGGAGGATTTAAGAACAGGTTAGACAGACACTTGTCAGGGATGGTCTCGGGTTATTTAATCCTGCCTCCGCACAAGCGGTTGGACTAGATGACCTCTTGAGGCCCCTTCCAGCCCTACATTTCTATAATTTCCATTCTCTCTCTCCCTGCGTCTGTCCGTATTTCACACGCAGTATGATGCGTCTGTCTTTCCCACATGTTTTATTGTCATATAAACAGCAGCTGGAATAACAGGTAATCGGGAGGCAAATTCTTGGGGTTTGAATCACGGGACATGCTCTTATCTGCTCTTGTTCCCAGCAGCCGTGCAGTGTGGGAGAGGGGGCCAGGAGCTCCCCGCGCTGACCCTGGGGGTAGGGGTAAGGTTATTGCTCTGTAAATGGGATTAGAAGGCATTTCATCCCGATTCTCTCCTAAGCCTCTCCCTGACAGCCGAGTATGCCAAATATGCGGGTGGTATTGTGCGAGATGGATTAGATCCGACCGCTGTTGCCAACTTGTAAGAAGCCTGGGAGACTCACGCCCTGCTATTCTGGCCAGAACTGGAGTTGGACCAACGTTTGGGAGGTCAAAGGGCAATTGCTTAATAACAATCCAATAATCCAGCATCCAAAACCCTAATCAGGCAGCAAAGCAAAATGCATTCAAGGGAATAAGTTAAATTACGACTAAAGCTGTTAACACGTTCCCTGGGCTCCGCTCTCTTATGTTTATTACTGGATTAAGGATTTTACGGACCTGAAGCCAGGAAAAGCAGAGCTTTCCCCTGGCCGTTGGTGCAAATTTCTCTCGTTCCTGGCTGTCCTATTTCCCTCCCTCTCGTGTGTCTTTTCTTTTCATCTGCTCTTCTTCCTTTGCTGTTGTTCTTTTGCAGTGTTTTACACACTTGTGCCATTACTGTTTGGGTTACAGTAGCGCCTACAGGTTCCATGCAAGGGCCCCAATGTGCTAGGTGCTGCACAGACACCTAGTAACGGGGTCTTCCTCCATGAGTCTGCAGTTTAAATAACTCGGGTCATTGGTCAGCGGGATGCTGGTCCTGCGCGGCGCTGAGTACTCCCCGCAAACTCCCACTTAGTTGGGAGCATTCAGCCTCATGAAGTTTTGGGCTGCCCCGCACGTATGGCATGCTGAGCCCCCATAACGCCACCTGAAATCAGCGGGAGGGGGGACATTCAGGAGCTCAGCACCTCTGCAAAAATCAAGCCCACGCCCTGTCTCGAGTCGACAATAACTAAAGGGTTGACTTAGGGCTTGATCCAAAGCCCACTGAAGTCAATGGGAATCTCCTACTAAGTCCCGGTATCAAGTATCAGGGGGTAGCCGTGTTAGTCTGAGTCTGGAAAAAGCAACAGAGGGTCCTGTGGCACCTTTAAAACTAACAGAAGTATTGGGAGCATAAGCTTTCGTGGGTAAGAACCTCACTTCTTCAGATGCAAGCTTCTGCTCCCAATACTTCTGTTAGTCTTAAAGGTGCCACAGGACTCTCTGTTGCTAAGTCCCGGTATAACGCCTGGCATGGTGCGGTCCCCGATCTCAGCTGGGGCTGCCTGGCGGCAGCGTAACAAAATACTAACAATAGCGATCGAGATTTTTTTCGTTCTACAAAAGTCGCCCAAAAACGAGAACGTGTTTTTAGATGGCTTCATTATTTGGGGTTTTATTTTAAAGCCACTCGAATGACAAAGAAACGACGTCCTTTTCACCTGTGCAGCCGGTCCCTCACTTCCCCAGCGAGAGTTGCTGCCACGCACTAATTACACGTTAACAGGAGAAGAAAATTATTAATTTGTTTTTTGAAACGCCTGAGTTATTTGATTCTGAAAAGTCGCCACTGTGTCAAGATTATTGTTTTTTTCCCCTCATTTGAAACTCAGCGGCAAACGTCCATCTTGCAGGTTATGTGCCTGGCATGAATCGAGGTACCACGCAGCCTCCCGCAGGCTTTGGCAGGGCTGGTGTGCTAGGAATTCAGGTGCCATTCAGCTGGTAGGGGAGCTCCCGCAGAGCGTTCGTCCTACACAAAAATCCTGGCAAAAGGCTGACGTCAGTGCGCCTTCAAAGCTGTGACAATAGCCAGGGTTTTAACCTACTGCATGCGAGTGACCCGTGGGCACAAGTTTGATATATGGGGATGGCTTTATTCTCACCACCACCTTCAAATATTTTTAAAGCTGCCCTGAAGAGCTGCAGGATTTTTTTACATTGCAAATGAAACCAGGAAGAGCAAACGAATGCAGAGCAAAGCACCCGTCGTGCCTACGGCTTTGTAGCACACGGTGCCAAGCTCTTCAAGTGGCGTCAACCAGTGTAACGCCACTGAAATCAGCACTGATTTACATCAGAGGAGGATCTGGCCCAGGAAGGCAGGATCAGGATGGAGGGGAGGTTAATCAGACTCTTCTCAGGATCCTCTGAAGTATTTCCTGAGTGTGTTTCTGTGCTGGTACGAGGGACCAGATCAACATCTCCCAGGGAGCAAAATCCTCCAGCTAGCAGTCGCCACCCTGTACCACACTGCAGGGAAGAGACAGGGCTCCTGCACTGAACATGACAGGGATTCTTTTATTGAGGCTGCTGGATAGAGACCCACCATGCGGTCCCCTCTACCTCTCTAGCTCCCACCTGGGCCGCCCAATGTTACCACCCAGGGGATCTCCCTAAGTCCTGGCTTGGCTCACGCACCCCTCGAAGGGACTTTGCCCCCAAATTGCATGGGCAAACAAAGCAGGGATTGGAGGAGCCCGTGGTGATTGGGGTGACGTGGGGCAGAGGCATCATGTTTGGGGCTCGGTCAGAACTTGCGCGACGTTTACGGCTGTTTAGATCCGAGCGCTTGGCTCAGTTCCGTCTCTAGCGTGGGGTTTTGCCAAATCTTTTTCCCCTTCGTTTAAGCCATTGTACTTGAAGGGAAATTTAATTAGTAAAATCCCCACCCCCCCCCAGCGCTCCACGCTGGGCAAACTCAAAAGATCACTGACTGGCAGATTCCCACCCTGCGCCTAGCCTGGTCGGGGAAATACCACGAATAAACTCGCAGCTGCTCAGAGCTTGCATTTCGCCCTAGCCACATGGAACGGGAAGCTCGGCAGACTCCGTGCCCGGTTCTATGTCGAGAACCCCTGGGTTCTAAGCTCTGGGTTCTAAGCTCCTGAACACACAGCTTCCGGGTTCCCATCGCCCACTTGGGAGCAGGCAATACACTTGAGCTACTTACTCGTTGGTCGAACATAAACCTTCAGCTTTAAGCAGGGCCTGTCCACCATGTTAGGGGGAGAAGCAGCTGGAAGAAACACAAAGGAGAGAGAGAGAAAATACAGCGGTGTTAGAAGAGGAGCGTGACATTTGCCTTAGTGCTACCTTTTAAACCGGCAGCATCTCACACTGCAGCTCCCCCGGCTCGCGGCACACTGAACACGAGCCAGTTTATTGAGGACGACAGTATAGGCCAGAAAGGCACCTAACTCCCTTAGGCACTTTTGCAACTCCCAACCATCGTGCCCAGAGGCACAACTCAGGGTCAGGGCCATGTTGAACTGGGTGTGTGACAAACACATATAAAGACACGGCCTCTGCGCCAAAGATCTTTGCATCCTAAGCAGACGAGCGACATGTGAGGGGTGTGGGTGGAGGAGGGAGAGGATCAGGCAGGTGCGATTTTGATAGACATATGGGTCATTGCGATTTTTCAGCGAATGAGGGCTGCCCCTCAAGCCAGTGTTAATTGGCTGATTTCTTATAGGCATCTCACCAGAGCTGGGAGATATTTGCAGAGGGCAGTAGCCTGAAGGATCATTGATCTATTTCTAACCCCTCCTGAATTCGCCTATAAATAGCAGTTCCAGCTAAGCACACAGATTTTCCTTCTATGGCAACTGCCGAGCTGCCGCTGTTGCTTCGTATCACAGCTGGGAGGTGGGGAATCTAGACTCTCCCTGTGACTCTCAGCGGACTCTTTTCTGTTCAATATTTAGCAATGAGGTCGCTACGCCCATATTCAAGCAGGACAGAAATGTTAGCCCTGTCTCCGGTGCTGCTAGCGTTTCGTGCGGCTGGACTCCCCAGGACAGAGTTTCCGCACCAGCAGCAGCCCCAGCCGTGGGGGGGAAACAAGGCTCGAGTGAGCAGCTCAGACCAGCCCTGCACACGGGGGGAGCTCCACTCAGGCTAGCTCCACATGGTGTCCCAGTTTCCCTTTGGGAAATATGGTCACCCAAGCATGGCTTAGAGCACGGCCCACTTCCCCCATCCGGACCCATTAACACGACTCAGCCCAGACCTCAAAAAAACGGGGGCTGGGGTCTCTGAATGCCAGCAATCGGTTTTTGCGAGGTGGACAGCTGGTGCCCTGGGAAATGGGCTGAGGCCCACCAAACTCATTCCACACAGGGGCCTGTGAGCACCCATCAGACATGGGCTCCTGGGGACTGGGATTCCGGAGGCCTAGACCTGCCACCAATTCCCCTGTGTGATTTTGGGCAAATCACTCGATCTCCCTACATTTCTCATTTGTCAAGTGGGGGTAAAAGTCTTTCCTTTCCCCAACCCCTTGTTGGTTTGGACTGTACGCTCTCCTGGGCAGGGGCTGTCTCTCATTCTTTGTACAGAGCCTAGCACGACGAGGCCGTGATCGCAGCTGGGATCTCTAGGGCCAGGATGTTTTTCAAATATCTGGCAGTTTACAGACTATCCAGGGACGTTGCTCATGATCTGAGGTTCTCTGCACTATACAAAACCGGGTGCCACTTTCCTTTAAAACTGCCACTTGCAAAGCTGCTGCAAAGGGCGTGTGTGTAAGAAATGCCTTTTCTGTGGCTTTCTACTGAGCGGAGAAGGACATCTGGGGTCTCCTAGATGGAACTCGCCCTCAAAAGGCAATGAGTTAAAAACGGATGAAGCAAAATACTTTATTTGTTCTACCCAATGCCTAATCAGCCAGTGGAACTCTCTGCCACATGATATTATGGAGGCTTAGTGGGATTCCAAAGGGGATTTGACATTTGTACGGATAATAAAAACACCCACAGTTATATTGCCTGAAAATGTAAAATGGGGGACAAATCCTCATGCTCAGAGGATGGATCAACAACTGACTCACTGGGGCAGCTTGTCCCATTTCTTGCACCTTGCTCTGAAACGTCTGGTACTACTGGAGCCAGGTCAGACAGACTGACCGCTGGAGTGCTCTGGTATGTTAGTCCCTGTCCCCCTGACATGCGCATGCAGCAGTGAAATCTTTCGCTGAGTTTAATTTTTGACTTGATCTTTTTTAGCTTGGGTGTCATCACAGCAGCTGTCGCGTCTGCAGCTCCAGAGAGGTGACTGGCCGTAGAATGTAACACTTCCCAGAAGCAAGGTCCTGTCTCCCTTGTGCTTTCCTGGCTCTAACCAACTTGGCTCTCAAGTCGCTGAGATAATGGGGCTTCCTACTGAGCTTCCATATGGGTTGGAATCCGGGGCTATAAAAGGGGAGACAAGCTAGTCTGGGAGAGAGAATGCACATCCAGCCATCTCTGCTTGACCTCCAGCTGCTCCCAGCTCCCTTTAAGGAGCTTAAAAGTTTGAAGGCATCAATTGCATTATTGAAGTGATCCCTGCCACTTAAACCGCCTCTTTGATCAACACTTAACTGGTGTCAAAAGTTGCCCGACCCCGGGCTGTGCCTTTCTGCCGGACTGTCCCTGGATACATGTTCTAACGGCAAAAAAATGTCTGCCAAGCCAGATTTCATGCTTGTTACAGACTCCTTCAATCGAAGGAAGGGAAGGGGGGGCGTTGTGTGTGAAACCCCTGCTGCGGGAGAATTACAGGCGCAGCGGATGCAGGGGGCACCTCAAAGCCTCGTTGAAGTTTGCCTGAGCGGCTATTGAAGGAGAACAGTTTGCAATTAAAAGGGTGCCATGTGAAAAGCATGGGGGTGGGGGGAGAAGAGATTAGGTTGGGGAGGGGGCTAAACCGGAGTGATGGGGAGAGGGACTGTGTGTTGGGTGGGGGGAAGGGGCAGAATCGAACAAGGTGAGGTGGGTTTTTAACTCGCTCTGAGACTGATCCTCTCTGACAGCCCCGATCCCCAGCTGTGCTGATGAGAAAAGCCTGCTGCTCCCCCCCTCTCGGGGTCATCTCAAATAAATGTTAAAGCAGCTTGAACCATTGAGTGTGAGTATGTTCACCAGGGGGGCAGGGCCCTTGAGTGCAGACATTCCTCCCACCCGCACCAGGGCTGTCCTCTCTGCACCTGGCCCACACCCTAGATACCATGCCAGCAAAACCGAGCAGCGCTTTTTCCATGGGAGACAGACTCTCCCAGGAAGGGTATTGTGCTCCATTAGGAATCGAACCCCTGAGATTCCCAGGCCCAGCCACAAGCAGGAAGGGAATTATTTGCATAACACACAGCCTTGTAATCTACCCCTCCGATCATTTTCACTGCTCTTCTCTGAGCACTTGGTCAATATCTTTCTGGAGCCCAGAAACAAGAACAGCCATGCTGGGTCAGACCAAAAGTTTGTCTAGCCCAGTATCCTGTCGTCTGTCAATGGCCAATGCCAGGTGCTTCAGAGGGAGTGAACAGAACAGGTAATCATCAAGTGATCCATCCCCTGTCACCCATTCACATCTTCTGGCAAACGGAGGCTAGGGACACCATCCCTGCCCATCCTGGCTAATAGCCATTGATGGACCTATCTTATCTAGTTCCTTTTTGAACCCTGTTAGTGTCTTGGCCCTCACATCATCCTCTGGCAAGGAGTTCCACAGGTTGACTGTGCGTTGTGTGAAGAAAACACTGTCCCAAGCAGGATTGCATTAATACCATGGGACTAACTGAAGACGATGTTTTTATGTATGTTTCTATCTACATTCACCACAGCATCTAAACGCTTCTTAAACATTGATCAGTTCATCCCTGAGAGGGGGAGAAGTGCTCTTATCCCCATTTGACCGCTGGGGAACAGAGACACAAGTGACTTGCCCAAGGTCATGCTGGGAGTCGGTGGCCCAGCTAAGATGCTGTCTTGCATCCCAGTTCAGTGTCTTAACCACAAAACCAGCCCTGGATTCTTTTGTAGCCATATCCCACCGAGGCCTCCTGGCTAACCTGCTCTCGGTTCTCCTCTTTCAGTCTCACTGCTTCCCCAGTTCCTCTCTGCCTTCAGCTCCGTGCGTCAGGAATTCATTTTCTCTGGTGCATTTTCCCAAGCTACATCTCATTTGGTCACTGCCTGGCCATATTCCTAATCTCTGTGTCCCTTTGCGCTTTATTGTTTCTCTGTCCTCATCAGCATTTCATGGATTCAGAGATTCCAAGGCCAGAAGGGACCACTGTGATCATGTAGTCTGACCTCCTGTATAACACGGGCCCTGGGACTTCCCTGAATTAAGTCCTCTTTGAACTAGAGCAGAGCTTTTAGGGGGGAAAAAAACTCATCTTGATTTTAAAGTGGCCAGTGATGGAGAATCCACCATAGCGCTTGGTAAGTTGCTCCAATGGTTAATTACTCTCACTATTAGAAATTTGCAATGTATTTCCAGTCTGAATCCGTCTAACTTCAACTTGTAGCCAGTGGATCTTAGACCATAGCTGCTCCCCTGTGTAGGTACAGATGCTCCCCGGGCTATGCCAGACCCGACTTACGCAAATTCACACTTACTGAAAAAGTTCCATAAGCCAGAAATAGGATTTTCGAGTTGCAGAAATTTTTGCGTAACGTACAAGTATATGTTTCTGACTTACACAAAATTCGAGTTACGCAAGGCTTTCCGGAACGGAGTGATTGCATAAGTCAGAGGGCATCTGTACTTATAAACTGTGATTAAGTCGCCCCTTAACCTTCTCTTAGTTAAGCTAAATAGATTGAGTCTCTCACTAGAAGGCAGGTTTTCTAACCCACTAATCACTCTCCTGGCTCTTCTCTGAGCCCTCTCCAATTTACCACCCCCCTTCTGGAAGTGTGGGACCACAGCTGGATACAGACTCAAACGCCTCCCAATTTACTGCCACCCCTGGGTTTCACGGCAGCGCTGGTCACTCCCTCTCTTTGAGATCAGGAACGAAGAGGCGTGAAAGGATCAGCCCTAAAGGGGCGGGTGGTTTTTGTGGGAAGGGAAAGTGGGAAGTTTGTGGGAAGTTTCTGTGTTAGGAAACATACAACTGACTTCACAAAGGGCATTGAACGGCCCCATCCAATGAGAACAACCTGCAGTTACTGCCAGCGTGGGCAGGATCTAAAGGAGTGGCGTTCAGCTGAAGGGTCTCTCCACGCTTCCTCCCCCCTCTCTCCCCAA